AGAGAGCCGAGAGGGTCAGTGAGTTGAGAGCTTCTTGATATATATATATATATATATATATATATATATATATATATATATATATATATATATATATATATATATATATATATATATATATATATGTGTGTGTGTGTGTGTGTGTGTGTGTGTGTGTGTGTGTGTGTGTGTGTGTGTGTGTGTGTGTGTGTGTGTGTGTGTGTGTGTGTGTGTGTGTGGTGCGTGTTTGTGCAACCAAACACAGGATGGTGAAATGCGTCTAGAGTGGCAGCATTATGTTGGTGTTAAGGTGCAAGCACTGCTTACTCCATCTCGCTTTCAGCTGCCGCCGCTGGCTAGCCCTCGCGGCGAACAGGGAAAAAACTTGCATAAGTCTTCTCCTGCCAGTACACAGCCTCCTCACCATCAAGACTCCTGCTGTTCCTCCTCGTGGCAACACACGGTAACTGGGTGCCTCGTGAGACCAGGCAACATCAGCAGAGGATCTCGGAATAGCAGTGGGCCCCAGAGGGACGGCGCATAGGCCCACTGGCATGTGGACACGTCCTGGCGCCTACCAACCACCGCCCTGCTGCCTTGCAGATTAACCTTGGCAGGTATAAGGCTACGGAAGTAAACCCCGAACTAAAAATCTGCGGTGGAACCCCGCATCAGGGAGACAAGCTTACAGAGCTCCAACAAGATCCCAACGGCGGTGTAGGCGGAAGAGGTGACCACCATGGAAACCTAACGACTACACCGGCGGACGAAGGCAATGCCTGATGGACAGGCTACTAAGGCGAAACCCAACAAACTGGGCTATCGCCAATCCATTGCGACTCTCCCTCTCCCCAGTCGTTGCAATACTTGCACCACTGGATCAGGAAAAGGGAGAGCCAAGATGTGTGATTGTAGCCTGCTCTCCTGCCTCGCCATATAAATCAACTCACACGCAGCCATCATCCAGTTCGAAAAACCTCTCATCATCATCAAAACCCCTATACCCCCAAAAGTCCTATGGCGACGGACGAGTGGCGACGTGGACAGGTAGAGATGACTGCCAAGAGTCTCTAGTCACAACTCTGCACATGGGCGGCACAGATAAGATGGTTGTTTATGCACTGGGATCTAAGCAGAGATGCAATCCGGTCCTGTCTGTGCGACTGAACAGTCCTATCGGGGAGCCACTGTGCTCACCCTACATGGGGAGGGAGGGGGCTAGAAAAGGTGCCCTAAACATAGCCTGCCTAAAAACCAAATCTGACTAGGCAACCACACCCAATAAGGTCATCCTTATGCGGTCGAAAACAACCAAAATCACAGATCCAAACAAAAACAAACCATACATCCTCTTATGGTCGCTACATGGAATGTCAGGACCCTTATGGATACTGGCACAAAGGCGCATCCTGAAAGAAGAACTTCCCTTGTGGCAAAAGAGCTGGCTAGGTATAACATCGACATAGCAGCCATCAGTGAGTCCTGGCTCCCAGATGAGGGTCAATTCACAGAACGGGGGTCTGGCTACGCCTTCTTCTAGAAGAGTAAACCTGCTGCGGAGAGAAACCGCATTTATGGTGTTGACTTTGCCATCCGGCAACGCATCCTACACAGGCTAACTGAAATGCCTATTGAGATCAACGAGCGCCTCATGACGCTTCGAGTCCCACTGAATCACGAACGTCATGCCTTCTTCATCAGTGCATACGGCCTAACACTGGATGCAGAGGATGACTCCAATGAGGTCTTTTATGCCGACCTCGATAGAATGCAAACCTCTATCCTCAGAGAAGACAACGTTGTGCTCCTTGACGACTTCAATGCCAGAGTTGGCAGAGATGCTAACATTTGGCAGGGAGCCATAGGGAGAAATGGACTAGGCAAGTGTAATTCCAACTACCTATTCCTCCTCAGCAAGTGTGCTGCACACAATCTCACTATCACCAATACCTTGTTTAGGCAGGTCGACTAGTTCAAGGGTTCGTGGCAACACCCTCGATCCAAACACTGGCATCTCATTGACTACATCATTGTCAGAGAAAGAGATCGCCGAGATGTCCCCATCACCCGTGGCATGCGTGGCTCAGACCACAGTGACACTGATCATCGTTTTGTCAGAGCCAAACTGTCACTTCACGTCGCCCCAAAACAGCAAAGGCAGCAAGCCTCCAGAGGAGATTTTAATACTAAGCGTCCGGAGGATCCAGCGGTAATACATGCTTTCAGAGAGCAGCTCCAACATGGGCTTATAAACAACCCAACAGCAAACAACGTGAATCCCAGTGCTGAATGGGATACTCTTAATACTGTTATGACAAAAACCTGCAGAGACCCTCGGCCAGATCAAAATAATACACCAGGACTGGTTTGATGAAAATGACCCAGCAATCAAAGTACTCATCGATGATAAACGTGCTGCTTTTACTGACTGGCAGGACAACCCTCAGTCTCGGACCAAAGCTTATACCTACCGCAAGAAGAAAGCGGCAGCCCAGCGGGAGCTTCGCAATCTAAAGAACGACTGGCTTAAAAATAATAAAACATGTGAAGCACAAAAACTTGCAGATCAGCACAAGATGCACAAATTTTTCATTTCCACTAAAACATTTTATGGGCCAGTCACTCGTGGTGCAGCCCCCCTCCACTCATCTAACGGTAACCACATAATTAAAGACGATGAAGGCCTCCTTCAGCTCTGGAAAGAGCACTACCATTCATTGCTTAACCGAAACACCGATGTGGATGTCCTGACTACTCAGCAGGTCCCTCAGCATCCAGAGATGACCCATCTCCGCTAACCTCAATCCCTGGATGAGGTAGCTTTTGCCATCAAACAGATGAAAAATAACAAAGCCTCAGGACCAGAGGGAATCCCAGCCGAGGTGTATAAAGCTGGAGGACCTCTGCTTACCAGCCGTCTCCACTCTCTCCCGGAGAATATATGAGAAAAGGAGGAAATCCCCAAGCTCTTAAAGACGCCTCCATTGTTAATATTTATAAGAACAAGGGAAACCGGTCAGACTGTGGCAACTACCGTGGAATCTCGCTGCTCTCCGTAGCTGGCAAGTTTATCTCCCGAGTCCTCCTAAACAGACTTCTTCTTGAGGCGGAAAACTTCCTCCCAGAATCTCAATGTGGTTTTAGACCATCACGTGGCACCACTGACATGATCTTTACTGCCTGTCAGATACAGGAAAAGTGCAGAGAACAGCGCCGTGACCTGTACATGGCTTTCATCGACCTAACCAAGGCCTTTGACTCGGTCAATAGGGAAGCCCTCTGGTGGACCCTCAGCTCTTTTGGCTGCTCACCAAAATTCATCGCCATTGTGAGGCAACTCCACGATGGCATGAACGGCAGTGTCCTGCACAACGGCACCCAGTCAGAGTTCTTCCCTTTCCAAACGGGGGTTAAACAAGGGTGTGTAGTGGCACCAACTCTCTTTTCCATCTTCTTGGCTGCTTTCCTTACTCGTGCCAGTGCCAATTTAGCCAGCGGGGTGAACATCGAGTACCGGGTGGTCTCTTCAACATGTAACGACTCCAGGCAAGAACAAAGGTGTCGGCAGCTTCCATTACTGAACTTCAGTATGCAGACGACCTCACCCTTGTTGCTCACACTGAACACGTCCTACAGAAGATCCTGAACACCTACGCAGACGCGTATGCACACTTCGGCCTTGAGGTGAATGTACGTAAGACTCAGATTCTCTTTCATCCTGCCCCTGGTTCGGACACACTTCCACCATCCATCCAGCTTAACAGTACTACCATCTCTAATGTTGCCCGCTTTCTGTATCTCGGCTCCCACCTGTCCACCACCATAGATATCGATGAAGAGATTCAGCATTGGATCAGATGTACATCTCAAGCCTTTGGCAGTCTCCGAAATCGTGTCTTCAGCTGTAGGGAGCTGAAATTATCTACAAAGCTGCACGTGAGACATGGGTCACATATAGGAGGCACCTCAAGGCATTTGAAAACTTTCACCAACGAAGTCTACGTTCCATCCTCCGAGTTCGCTGGGAAGACAAGAGAAGAAATGCCAGTAGTGTTGCTGACACCAACTGTAGGAGCATCGAGGCTACCATTTTTCATGAACAACTACGTTGGACTGGCCATGTTACCCGCATAGACGACAGTAGACGGCCAAAGCAGTTACTTTACAGTCACCTAACGAATAGCATGCCGGCGGGCAATTGAAAGGGTATAAGGACAGTCTTCATACAAACCTGAAAAAATTGCCAAATCGACCCCCTCACCCGGAAGTAGATTACTCCATATCGTAACGCTTGGAGGAGCACCACACGAGAAGGTGTCAATGCTTTCCAGTTAGCCCGACCGCAAACCGAGGCAGACAAGCGCCAACGCCGGAAAGACACTGTCACCGCCCTCCAACATGTGCAACGAATGTGAACGACGCTGCGGGTCCCGTATCGGGCTCTTTCGTCACCACAAAACTCACTAACCTTGGTGACATCCATAATAACTTATATCATTATATCATAGCTGGATGATCGTCATACTCGATTCCGAGTGACAGCAAAGTAGTTAGTAATAGTAGTGTGTGTGTGTGTGTGTGTGTGTGTGTGTGTGTGTGTTTATTTCTGTGTGTATATTTATGTATGCATTTTTATGTGTGTGTATATTTGAGTATGCATTTTTATGTGTGTGTACAAAGAAGCAACTATCTTTTCACGTTTTGATGAATACTAGTACAACGCGGAAAAGTTGTAGCTCGTAAACAGTTGGCAGGTCTGTGAAGCCTTGGAAAGGGTAGCCAGTTACATTATTGATTCGCATTATTCCTTACTTTCTCCGATGATCATTATTATTATAAGAATGTTAAGCTCCATGGATCAACTGACCAAATGTAGACACGGTCACGCTTCAGTAAAACCCGTCAGGTCTCAATAGTCTTCGTTCTAGGCTGGAAAGATGCTTGTTTCTCAGACTCATTAACTCATCTACCTGCGAGGAATCTAGAGAGCTAGAAACATCAAACAGATAAATAACACTCACCGACTCGTTGAGCATATCATGGACGGTGCAGTCGAGGGTGACCGTGTTCCCCAAGAAGACCTGCATGGAGGTGTTGCCTGTAGCGAAGTGTGGCTCCCGGTGCTCGTGGTCCTCCTCCCGCCCGTGGGTGTGGTGGGCGTGGTCATACTGCCCCTCGGAGACCACCACGAAGCGAGCCGTGTTCATCACCAGTGGCACAGGCTGAGGCAAGGAAGGCAAGGCGGGGTAGGAGGATGATGATGAAGCCTTGTAGGAGGGGTAGGAGGAAGATGAAGTCATGTAGGAAGAGGAGGAGGAACGTTTGTAAGAGGAGGTTGAAGAGGAGGTAGAAGATAATGAAGGTCTGTGTGAGGAGAAGGAAGAGGAGGAATAGTAGGGACCTGACAAAGGCCTATTGGAGGAGGAGAAGGATGAGGAAGGATAGGAGGAATCAGAAGAAAGACTGTAGGGAGAAGAGGAGGAAGAGGAGGAGGAACGGGAGGAGGATGACGAAGGCTTATAGGAGAAGTAAGAGGAGGAGGAGGAAGAGGAAGTGCCGCCTCCGCCAGAGAGGAACAGGTGTGGGAGGGTCTCCGCTTGTACCGGGCCTGAGGGAAGAACGAGAGAAAGCAATAAGCATCTTATATAAGAGAATCATTAAGATAATATGGTAAATATTTAGTATTTGCCAACATCAACTTATATATTAAGTCTTATCTTTCGAGTATTTTAACTGATAAAATTACCAACAATATTAGTTTTTCAAAGTAGGAAGGACTTTGAAGTAAAGGGAAACTGGAGCGAAAATACAAAAAAAAAAACCACCAAACAAACATTTAAAACCTCACTTAACCTTTCCTAATTTGTAATAAGGTTAAGAATCGCTTTTGAATTTATGGGTCTCTCCTCATCTGAAGACCGAAAACACCACCATCACATACTAAACACCGAAAATGAGAATAAGGTAAACTTTTTTATAGTTGTAGGATTTGTATGGGTGAGGAAAGGTTTTTCAAAAGTTTGTTTCCTGCTTTTTTGGTATATTACCCCACATTTTCCCTCTGCTTCAAGGTCCTGCCCACTTTAAACAACTAACAGTGTTGGTAATTTTATCAGTTAAAATACTCGAAAAATTTAAATTTCAGTCGGAAACGCTATAGAATAAATTATAGTTTTTCTCTTTTCCTCTATACAAGTAGGATTTGGCAACTACTAAATATTAACCAATAATACTAAGAGTAAATAAAGATAAATAACAAAACTACAAAATATTAAAATTAAACAATCGCTTTTTTCGAACACACTGAGGCGAAAGTTGCATATCATTGTACACATCAGAAACGTATATGCAGCACACGTCATAGTTAAGAGTTCAAAAACAATCACATAACAAAATACTTGACAAAAAATTTACCAGGTATATTACAGAAGGTTTTCCCGCTCGAACAATATGTAAAACTATTGTTATTCTTAATCCTAAAGTGAATAGGATTTACTGGTGCATATTCAGTGACCGCCATGATGTAAGTATAGATGAAGTGATCAATAGAGATGTAAACCAACCTTTTTATAGGTTCTGAATCATTTTAATCCCTTCGAAAGTATCAAAGGTGGGTTATATCTTTTATATTTGATGAACGTTATTTTTACACTGGACATAAAGTTGTATATTCAGTTACATGTCCGTGTTTTCAGCTGGTACAGGGTTGATATGGCATGTCAGGGCTGCCGATTGAAAATTAAATTGTAGATAAAATTAACTAATATCTAAACCAAACAAACGTAACCTAAACTAACTTTATAATAACACGTGGAGAATATTTTTATACTGACATAAACAGAACAAGGGGACAACCTAGGCTTTATATGAACAAATGAATTATTGACCGCTCATCTGTGCACTGTTTTGTCTCTCTCTCTCTCACACACTCTCACACACACACACACACACACACACACACACACACACACACACACACACACACAGTACAGTATATACATAAAGTTGCAAAACATATCGGAGGTGCTAAAATATAGCGCACAGGACAGTATTCATTAGCATATATACAAGAAATTCTAACATAGGTCATAATTTGATGATAGATGCACATGTTCCCGAGAATGTTTTTTTCTGGTTTTTTTTTTGGGGGGGGGGGAGAATTTCGTTTGCATTACTTACAATCTGCAATTCTAAGTCAACATCTCAATCCACTCATAAAGAGATGCTCCCTCAACTTCAAAGGTTAACGAAATGCTAATGTGTACACTGTTCACTCTACTGATCTATTAAGATTCAAAAGGTTAATTTATTCACTAGTGTACGAAAGCTGTCGAGACTTTTAGATTAAAGACATTAATAAGGCTTTTAGAAAAAAAAATATTAAACGAAATGGATAAGGTCACGATGTCTGGAGTGTTAATCGTCGTAGTGGTTAAAGTTTTAGGTTAGGATAAATTAGTTTGAGGTAAGGTTGTTTTAGTAGAGCTAAGTTAGGTTACTCTAGTATTGAGTTGGAAAAATAATTACATACGTACTCAGAGACATGTAACAGAACACACACACACACACACACACAACAGAGGGCCGGCCGGCTATGCACCTGACTAGTGGGTAACACAACACCACCCAGCAGGGCGAGGTTCTAAGACCCCACCCCACACCACCCGATGTCCCCATGACCACGTGAGGTCCTTCATATCAACACCCGAGGATGAGTTACTACACTACGTGAACACCACACCACCAGATGTCTCCATGACCACGTGAGGTCCCTCATATCAACACCCGAGGACGAGTTACTACACCAGGTGAACACCTCATCACCTGGTGTCTCCATGACCAGCCCACGTCCGGGCCATCAACTGTAAGCTATAATAATTTGTATGTTCAATCATTGATCCTTCTTCTTCTAGTAATGAAAGCTTTTGTTAAACGACCCACCCACCCCATGTCTTTGTATGTAATAAGACATTTTTGTCTAATGTATATTTTCAGCCTTCGGGCTGCCGACTTTTTCAATAGACCGTAAATTATTATTATTATTATTATTATTATTATTATTATTATTATTATTATTATTATTATTATTATTATTATTATCACACACACACACACACACACACACACACACACACACACACACACACACACACACACACACACACACAGGCAACGATGGACGTAAAGTCTTAAAAAGTTTTATAACAAGCTAAAGGGAAAAATCCTATTAGCCAAGTCAGACTTGCTGGGGGAACGATTTCTCTTCTCAAGGAGGTGACCAGAGAGTGATTGATGTACTCCAGGCCGGGGAAAAGATGTCGCGGCGGAATTTATGTCTTTTTTAACAGAAACGAATTTAATTCACCCCGAAAAAACACACGAAAGAATAGTCACACAGAGGTAATAAGGGTCAGTTCTTATAATTGTATAACCTTATAATTATGAAATATTTAAGTAATTAATTGGAGAAGAAAGGGTTTTTTTCAGATGTAATAAAAGGTATGTTGTTATTGATGTATAATTAGTCTTAGTTAGAGATGTTTATATTAATTACAGAACTTTTTTTCCCTCTTTTTCCGGTATAACGAATGGACCAAACACAGATTATCATCCTTCATTCACTCTTACTTTTGCATTCTGTGACTGTGCTCTCTTCCTTCTCACAACACGACCCTTAAGATATCGTTTGGGGTTAATCCTTCTCTTCTTCACACAATCCACCATCACCACTCTATCAACAACCTACGATGAGGCTGAATCATCTTTAGTCGGTAATACTTCTGTGACAAGAAGAGTCTCGTAAACCAACTTTCTACAGATGATAAGACGGTGCACCGGTAGCCAAAACTTCCTCTTGGTTCTTATGGTGTTGTTTCAGGTTTAGGCAGAAGGATGAGCTGTTGGAACGTGAAACCATTCCGTTGATTGTAGCAAAGCCAAGATCACCGCCGTCTCATCCCAGCCATCTCTTTTGCAGGACGACACGGGGCGTTCACTCCAGTCAAAAGCTCTCTCCCCTCCCCTCCCACCCCCCCTCCCCCCACTTCCCTCCCCTACGCCACCCGGCCAGAGAAAAAGACCTGCCAGAGGCTCAACGGAGATCTTAGATAAGGAACTCGTGGCACCCTGGGAGCCTTCCACCGTAGACTTAAGAGGTGATTTAGTTGGTGCTCGGAGAGACTCCCATGTATGTAGGACCAAACGGCTTCTCAAAGGGAGATTTTTTATTTTTTTCTGAGGAGACGAGGCGTGGAGGGGGAGGAGGCGTTGAGGAGGAGGAGGAGGGCTTTTCGCGGATCACTGGGCCTCAGGGTGGGATGCCTCCAGGAAGTCCAGTTTGCTTACGGATGGCGGAGAATTAAGGCATTTGTCTCGTGTAAGCTTGTGAGCGGTGTGTGTGTGTGTGTGTGTACCTTTCACCACACTGAATTTATGTTGCGACTCACAGGGGAGAGGGAGGGAGGGAGGGAGAGTGATGGTGACTTACTACTGCTAAAGTGACGCTGTGTGACTCAAGACTGTATTTATAGCCAGGGTGAAGGAAGAGCCCACAGTGTAAGAGAGAATGGGTGAATGAGATAAGAGGAACAAGAATGATAAAAGGGAAGAAATAGTGATAGAATAAGTGAGATAGCTAAAGAAAACAAAAATGATAGAGAAGGAGTGATGGAGTAAGAGAGAGGGAAGGGGAAAGGAGAACTGTATAGTGAAACAGAGAGAAGACGAAAAAGAAGAAAAGAAGAGAAAAAATTAAGAAGAAAGAAAGAAATATATGGAGGGAGACTTTAAACCAAGTTGATAATAACAGAGAGAGAGAGAGAGAGAGAGAGAATAAATGAGACAGACAGACAGAATTCCAGCAACATAAATTAACGAAGTAACTAAACTTGTGCTTTCCTCCCTCTACTTAATTATATCTTCATTACGTTGGTTCGTCTCTATAAAAGTGTACCCTCTCTAGACTCAAGACTCGGGGAAGAAGACCTCACGGTGCACGACGTAATTAAAATGAGTAGGAACATTTACGTCTTTAGTTCTACCAGTGTGGATTCTTGTAAGGCTGCCAAGATGAAGTAATTCCTATGGTTCATAAGAGAAAGTGAGACGTGGATGTTTGTGTGTCCTATAGATAAAGTTTCATACGTTGATATTTGATTCTTGTGTATTATTTTAAGCAGTGACTCTCGTGATTCTTTTGTCACATGGTTATAATGACATGTGATTCTTGTTTTTTTATAGAGACAGTGACACGTGAATCTTGCATCCCATTGAAACATTCATCCTTTGAAGACGATGGTTTAACCTTTTGAGGACGATGTTCTAACCGTTTCAAGGCGATGGTTTAACCCTTTGAAGAAGATAATTGAAGCCTTTTAAGATAATGATTCAACCATTTGAATATAATGGTTTAACCCTTTGAAGAAGATTGTTTAACCCTTTGAAGAAGATCGTTTAACCCTTGGAAAAGTATATCTTAATAGTATGATAGTTCAACACTGTTAGCATAATGGTTAGATCACTTAAGGAAGACCCTATAATCTTTAGACAGTAATAGTTTTAACCCCCTTGAGGATGACAGCTTAGACCATCATCCTGAAAATGTTCAAT